TAATCCACTGCTGGTAGGAATGCAAACTGGTGCAGCCTCTATGGAAAACAGTATGGAGATTCCTCAAAAAATTAAAAATAGAACTACCTTATGATCCAGCTATCCCACTACTGGGTATCTACCCAATGAACCTGAACTCAACAATCCAAAGAGGCTTATGCACCCCTATGTTCATCGCAGCATTATTCACTATAGCCAAGACACAGAAGCAACCCAAGTGTCCCCCACTGATGACCGGATAAAGAAGATGTGGTATATATATACCACAAAATACTACTCAGCCATAAAGAAAGACAAAAATCTTCCCATTTGCAACAACATGGACGGACCTGGAGGGTATTATGTTAAGTGAAATAAGCCAGAAAGAGAAAGACAAACAGGGCATGATTTCACTCATATGTGGAAGATAAACCAACACACACACAGATAGAACTGTTTGGTGTTTACCAGGGGCTAGGGGGGTGGGGTGGGGGGTGGGCACGAGGGGTGGAGGGATGCACTTATATGGTGACTGATAAACAATAATGTACAACAAAAATTTCACACACACAAAAAAATGTTACCAAAAAAAAAGAAAAAAAAAAAGAGTTTGTGTCTCTTTTGCTCACTTTATTAAAAAAAAAAAGGGGGGAGGGGGGACGGACAGTAACCTCTGTGGGAAAAGTCACCATGATATACTTAACACTGGCACTTTTATGCATGCATTAGATCCAGACAGAAGTAAGGTTTGAGAGTTCTCACCTCTGGGGGTACTAAGTGATGAGATGCTTGTGCAGCAAAAAGAAGGATCTTTGTTACTTCTAAAAACATAAGAGATTAGAAAGGTCACAGTCAGTTTATCACTCTGCCTCTTAGGACTACAGCACACAAGCAAGCACATGCTGGCCTTAATGCTATTGCTGCTTACTCCACCTGGAACACCCAACTCCCAGATATCTGTATGGCTCACCCCTCACTTCCTTCAGGTCCCTGCTCAATTGCTGCCTTATCAAAACGTCTTTCCTGACCACATAATCTAAAATAGACCCCGCCCCAGCACTCTCTATTATCCTTACTCTGCTTCCTTTTTCTTCACAATCCTTATCTTTACCTAGTCATATTACATACAACACTGTCTAGATCTCCCTCTGGAATGTAAGGACTTTGCTTTACGTTCACCACAGAATTCTTGGTGTCTAACGCAGTGTCCAGCATAGCAATTACTAAATAAATGAATAAATACAAACATACAAAAATACACACACTCTCCCTTCAAAGGGGCAGTATATACAAAGAAAAAGGCCTTTGGCAAAAGAAAGAAGTGAGGTGAATTCTAATTTGTCATTTATTTGCTGAGTGACCCTGGTCTTGTCTTGTCTTTCTTTCTTTCTTTCTACACCTCGCAGGATTGAAGTGAGGATTAGAGGAGATGATGTATGTAAAGCATTTAGCACAGTACTTGGCTCATGTTAGATGTTCAATAAATGTTCCCTTCCTTCCTACCACGGTTCAAGGTCAAAGGGGAAAAACAACTATCTCTTATTTCGTGCTTTTATGTTGTTTTTAATTGATAATACACATGAGGACAATGAAAGCAGCAAGATGAAATCCTAATATCTATTACAAAGTTACTAAAAGATCAAACTTCTTTTATAGAATTTTCTACATGAGTATTTATGGTATTACAAAAAGACCTGCTTTGAGAAACCAATTTTTGTTTTTTGTTTTTCCCAAAAATAATTGCTTCTTAAAGTTGATGAGCAGAACAATTAACCCATGGCAGACTCTGGAAAGAAAATATAAGGGTTTCTCTCCCCTTCTTTGATGCAGAACACACTTCACTCCTAACTTGGTCTTTAATAATTCCAGAACAAAAGACTTTGGATGGTTATTCTAACCTCAAAGCCATCCAAGAAACATGACAAGTGGGAGGCTTACCTCTTTGGTGGGGCTGCAGAAATCTTTGCACAAACGGATAGAAGTTGAAGAGAAAAAGCTGTGGAAAGAAGAATGCACTGACTTTAATATTTATGTAACTGAAGCTGTAGAGTTTCATATCTCCATAATGTAATTATATCACCAAACTCAACTAATTGGGAATCATTTTTTACTTTTATTTTTTTCTCAACAAGCATTCATGCCCCAGGATGATTCAATGTGCTGTTTATTTATTTATTTATTCTTTGGTGAGGAACATTAGCCCTGAGCTAACATCTGTTGCCAACCCTCCTCTTTTTGGTGAGGAAGATTGGCCTTGAGCTAACATCTGCACCAATCTTCCTCTACTTGGTATGTGGGATGCCTGCCACAACATGGCTTGAGAAGCAGTGCATAGGTCCACACCTGGGATCTGAACCTGCACACCCTGGGCCACCGCCGAAGCAGAGTGCACGAACTTAACCACTATGCCACCAGGCCAGCCCCAAATGTGCTATATTAACCAAGGAAAGGAAGGCTATGCTGCTATCCTCCTTATGCCAAGAAAGAAGAAAGTGTATGCAGAATAAACCAAGGGGGAAAGGCAACCAAAATGTAATATTCTTCTACTTTTAAAATTGGTGTGGCTGCAGAACTAATTTTTTAGTCTTCAAAGATAAAGAGGATTACAAGAAAGAGCATTGATATTAAGGCTCCAAAGCAAGGCACAAAATAGTAATTCAAATCTGAATAGGACCTAGGAATTTGATCACCAAAAACTCCACAATTCTATTATTGGATACCAGTCAAACCACACTGGAGGAACTACTCTGAGCTCCACATTTTAGAAAGAAAACATTAACACGTGTTCTGGAGTCTACCTTGATAAAAGTGACAAGGGTCCAGTTATTAAAGCAACGATAATCTGTAACTTCGAGAAGAGAAACTTTGGAGATGGACTGGTCTTTTTCAAAGTTCATCATGTAAGAATAAATTAATTTTTTGCTATTTTAGCCACAGAGCAAAACCAGGGCTAGAGAAGTAACAGGGGAGCCTTGGGCTCAATGTAAATATGGATGTTCAATTATACTCAGTGGTGAAACTCCAGTATCATTTCCATCAAACCATGCTTAAATCACAAATCATTTTTCCTTTCCTAACAAGCTCAAATCCAGGTCTGACATAAAATTAACACACAAATGTAATAAGATTTGACCTGGTAATCCTGTCTTAGGCCTGCAGCCCACAGAGAAAAAAGCAAGGTATTCACTAAAATGTTATCAAGTATTTCTTAGAGAAAGGGAACAAGTGCTTTCACTCATGTGTCCTTTCATTGTTAACTTGATATATGTCTATACTATTTGATTTTCAATAAACAAGCCCATTTTACTTTTCTTGTTTTATTAAAAAAAACTTTCTGAATAAAGCAACACATTCAATTATGTTCAGAGCAGCACCAATCACAAGAACAAAATGATAGGGAACAACCTCAATGGTCATTTCTTTATGGCCTAAATTTTGGGGAATCTCTCCTTTTCTACAATGGCAGTTAGTCTAAGAGTAACTTAGTTACTCTGTTACTTAGTTACTCTGTGTGAAGTTTCCATATGTATACACAATATATATACATATACACCACCAATGAGCTCTTGCAATCTAATTTAATATAAAATAAATGAGCAGAGAATGCAGTTTTGCAAACATGACAATCTCGCACTAGAGTGGTCTGGAAGTCAGGAAAGCTATGAAGGGATAAACAAACTGTGAAATGTAATTAATAGTCAATAAAAATATGTGGGTTATGTTGGCTCAGAAAAATGTGTATGTGAAACAAAATTGAAAAAAAAATAAAGTAGAAAAACAGAACACAAAATAATCTGTCCATAAACTAAATATATGTATAATATAACATCCATACTTATTGAACATCCATACTTATTGATAAGAAAACAAAGTGATAGAAAGAGATTTTTTTCAGAGTGAAAGAATTTATTCTGTAAATTGTATGGGTTTAAATGGTTTTGCCCCCAAAACCATTTGCCCCCAGCACTGCTCTTCCTAGTACCTTCCTTTTACCAAGAAGAATCCTACTTCTAACATTGACCAAGAGAAACATAATGTAACTCAAACCTCATGAATTCCCACCAATCTGGAGATGAGGTTCATGAGCATCATCTTCACTTCAAATCTCTCCTTAGAGCTCTCCAGTTGCTTTAGCAGTTTTTCTGCAAAATCTAGAAAGGAGAATAGCAGAGAAGTACACTGTGGGTCCATGGTCTGTATGACATCATCTAACACGTGTAGAGAAAGGCAATAGTTAGATCAGTGACTGGTACAGCTGTGCCTGAAATCACTCTGCTGAACCAGGAAGGTAAAAACAGCAGCATGACAGAAGGTGAAAAGAGTCATACACGGGTGAAAATACTTTCAATGGTGCCCAATCTTTAAGATTCCCAAGATGTTTAGCACCAGTATCTTGAGTGACTGATAAATGCTCCACTTAATAGTTCTCTAGAGCCTTGCTTCTCGAAGTGTGGACTGCAGAGCACCAGCAGCTGGTCCACTTGGTGGCTTGTTAGAAATGCAGAATCTCAGGCCCCACCCCAGACCTACTGAATCAGAATCTGCACTTTAACCAGATCCCCAGGTCATTTGTATAACCATTAAAGTTTGAGAAACACTGACACAGAAGAGGGGTTAGCAAACACTGCTGTACACTAGAGTACAGAGAGCATTTAAAAGTCCCGATGCCCAGCTGCACCCCATACCAACTAATCAGGTCTTTGAGGATAACAGTACCCAAGCATCAGTATAGTCTTATAAATTCCCTAGGTGATTTCAATGTGCAATCTAGTTTGAGAACTAGTGCTCTAGAACAGGGTTTCCCAAACTTCTGGTTTCCACAGACCAGTTTAAAAAAAAAAAAAGACCAACAAAAGATTGTCAATATTCATTAGGTCAATTACAATGCCCTACCACTACTGTGTTGTTAAAGACAGGAATTGCAAAGAGATCTGTTCTTCCACATTTTTCTTATTTTGTTGTGGACTGGGAATCACTAATTTAGAACATAATTCTCTAGGCTACAACCAACTAATAATAACTAAGTATTTACTGACTGTCTATTAAGTGCCAGGGATCTTGTATACCCTGGTAATCCTAAAGGTAGAAAACTAAACAGGCAGAGATAAAGGCAACAAGGAACTTGGGAAGTCATAATTATAGTACCTTGGGGATCATGAATCAAGTGAATAGCTGAAAAATTAAACACCTCTGGTTTTTTCTTCTTCTTTTGTCTCTGAAAGAAAGGGAGAGGAAAAACATTTACACTCAATTACAACGGTGAGTCCTCTGGGATTAAATGTGGTAGAGGCTGTTATCAAGTCCACCACACTATTTAAAAAGAAAAAAAGGAAAAGAAAAAAAATCTTTGTTCCAAAAAGCTTTCTTTAAACTAGAAGAACTAAAGGTGGGATTTGTCTTTTAAGATTAAACCTTGGGAATGTTCAGTCTCTTCAATAAACCATGTTGGGAAATCTGGACAGCCACAGGCAAAAGAATGAAACTGGACCACTATCTTACACCATACACAAAAATTAACTCAAGATGCACTAAAGACTTGAACGTAAGACCCAAAACCATAAAACTCCTAGAACAAAACACAGGCAGTAAGTTCCAAGCTTCTACTTCAACTAGAACTAAGGTGATTTTTGTCTTTTAAGATTAAATCTCAGGAACGTTCCAACTTAAGACTTAAAGGAATTTGGATACATAAACATTAAAAAACACACAGGGCCAAACTAATGATTTTCAGAATAATCATTACAAAATATAAAATGTACTTCACTCATGTACTCTTCTGTGAAGACATATCCAGAAAAGATACCCTAATATAGGCCATCTTGATCAGAACAAGTGAAAAGTGAATTTAATCATATTAATTAAGTCACAGATTTTGCTAGAGCTGAAAACATTTATTCATCTAAAAAATTAGTGCTTAAAAATTCATCATACATGTTTCTCTTTCAAAAAATGCTATTTCTTTATTTCAGATTCTTAAAAGCTTTCGCTAAAAAACACATTATTTTGCATTCTAGTGACTCCTACCTCATTTCCCAGGTACATGTCTCACCTTGAGCACTTTCATAGCCTTTTCCAACCTCTTCTTGTGTTTGGAGCTTTTCTTCCCTGTGGCATACTGCACTAGCAGGTCTCTTGCTGTTGGTCCATCATCCTGAGGAAGAAACTACTTTGTAAAACTGTGAACAAGGAAAATCTGCACAGAAGCAAAGAGTAATCCTTTCAACCACTTCTTTGTACTTATACTCTTTGCACACAGCTATTAAAAATAAATATGATGTTTAAAATTCAATAAAAAATATTTGCCCATGTGCACAAATAGGCACATACAGAGATTTTTCACTGCAGCATGGTTTTTATATTTTGCTTTTAATTTTTATTGTAGCGTAATATATAGACAGAATGCAACTTTCTTTTTATTTGAAAAAATAAGCTGGAAACAAATATCAATAGGGAAATGCTTAAACTATAATACATTCATATTCTGAAATATTATGTAGAGGTTAAAAGAATGAGATAGACCTACATGTACTATTGTAAGAAGATCTAAACGCATTAGTACATCTATATATATCGACACAAAGAAAGCAGGTTGCAGAATAATACATATATTATTTATGTAGCTTTTAAAAATCTACTACATACGTAAGACAATATATAGAGACAATCGTATATAAATGCATAGGAAACAAAATGGTTATCTGGAGAAAGAACTAGGAAGTGGAAACAAGACAGGGTAAGAAAACTTTCATCTATAGTATCTGAAATTTTTACAGTAAGAATTATTGTTCATACATTTAACAACACAATAACAAAATGAATTAAAAGACATTATTATGCATTCCAGTATTCTTGTTACCAAAATGCTAAAATGGGAAGTAAAATTTTTCTTTTAGAATTTCTCCCTTTTAATTTTAATAAAAAACATTTTTTAATAAAGAAAATCTCATGATATCATAAATCTTGATTTTTCCTTTTAAAGATGCCATTTTATCACTCCTCTCCTTTTCCCTACTCTAAATTTTTATGACATTGACACGCTACCTCAAAAATATGCTGGCAGCAATTTTCATTCTAAATTTATATAGTGAGATATAGGTATAGCTTTAGAACTAAGAACAAAGCCGAATGAATCTAAGTTTTATTAATTATTTAACCAGTCTTACTGAATGTAAATGACAAATTTTAAAACAGAATAAAATCTCAGCATGGCAGAACTCAATAAAGGATGAAGGTGACATATTAGTTTCTTTCTAACTTGAGTAGTCATGGATTTTACAAAATCTGTACTGAGAGCAATAATGAAATCTGATAGACTGTAAAGTTCAGAAGTATCTATGATTAAACTAACCTCAGATTCTGAGTCGCTGTCCTGTTTCTCCTCTTCATCTTTCCCAAGGAAGAATGTCAAAGCAGCAACTAATATCTAAAGACAATCAGAACAAAGTCAATTACTTAACCCAGCTTACAAAAAAGAATAAACACTTTTTATTTATTTTTAAAAGTATAAATAAATACTTTTATACACTTTAGACATGTAGCTGAACTAGGATCTGAAGAAAAAAATCAAAGAGTGGTCAGATTTGGGTTTATTTTTCTTAATTAAAACATAATATTTTTATAATGTTATTTGTCTTATTAATATATAACTAAAAAAAACTTTAACTAGATAAAAACAGCCAAGTTCTACAGTTGTTATCTATCCTTCAAGTAGACTGTCAAGAATTTTTTCAACCCACACAAGAAAAGTGACATTACAGCCCTTCTAACAGAAAGTCAAACGTAGTCCTTAAATTTCTTTCAGCTATGCCTGAGCCCAATAGAAGAGTCAAGAATTATAGACGAAAACATGAAATAAATGCTAAGGCTATCGTTTAATACAAAGCATTTTAAAAACGCATGATAACTTTGTGTGACTCCTCTAAAGCAGATGAACCAGGAAGCGGCCTATGCACCAAGAAAACATTACTAAAAGTGCACTGCATGCCCGCACGCTACTTCTTCCTCACATCCCCATCTCCTTCACCTTCTCTCCAGAGAAGCAGACTATCACAGACAGGCCTTCACACAGGCCTACAGGCACTCACCTTGGTGACCTTAGAGAAACACGCAGTTGTGATCACATTGACAGTTTTGGCATCGTTCCTGGAGAAAGACAAATGAGTGTTTTAAAGTAAATTTTCATTCTACTGTATTTGATAGCATAGACAATGGCACAAAATAACAATATAATAAATATTTCTGACATGTTAGAATTCATAGTTGTAATATTTTAAAAAGTCATGGTTGGGGCCGGCCCCCTGGCATAGTGGTTAAGTTCGGCATGTTCCACTTTGGCGACCCAGGTTAGTGGGTTCAGATCCTGGATGCAGACCTACACCATTCATCAGCCATGCTGTGGCAGCAACCCACATATAAAGTGGAGGAAGACTGGCAAAGATGTTAGCTCAGGGCTAACCTTCCTCAAGAAAAAAAAAAAAAGAGGAAGATTGGCAACAGATGTTAGCTCAGGGCTACTCTTCCTCAGGAAAAAAAAAAAAAATGGTCGCTAAACAGTCGATTAAATTTTAGCCCAGTCTTATGTCAGAAAATTACATAGCCATTAAGATGGACTTTTTGAAGAATTTTTAATGACACAGGAACCTACTTAAGCGAAAAACAATAACGACAAAAACAAAAAACAGAATTAAAAAACTATAATATAGCAAAATTCCAACTATAATTAAAAATTCATGTTAAAGAAAAGACAGGAGGAAATATCATAAAATACTAACAGTGATCGTCCCCGGGAGGTGGGGTTATCAATAATTTTTTTAAAAAACTTTTCTAGCTTCTCCAAATTTTCTGCTGCAATGAATACTACTTTTATATTTTAAAAAATAGTGAATAAGAAAAGCAAAACACATGAGTTGGCGATACTATATCAACAAGCCAAAGGTTACAAAAAATGGTAATTTACAGATAGAGGATAAATTGATTTGAAAATCTTCAGAGAGGCAGAGCAGAAAGAGCTCAGATTTTAGAGTCAGATAGATATGGGTTTAAATTTAAACTCTGCCCTTTATTAGCTAAGAAACCTAAACTCTATGAACTTCCATTTCATTATCTATAAGATGGGGATAATTCCAGATAAGCTGCATTACACTGTTCTGAAGGTTGAAGGAGATAATGCAAAGTGCAGATGCTCATGAAATGGTAGCTAATGTTTTTATTAGTCACTTGGATTGCCTCTATATTTTTACTTCCAACTTAATCTATGACAGAGATATATAAAGAGCTCAAGATCAAAAAAAAATTTGTGTATGTGCTCTGTAGTAATTACAAATGAATAAAAGATTCTATTTCTTAAGAGACAAATACATATATATTACCAGATGTTTCTTCTGTAGAGTTCGATCATCACATCCAAAGATATCTTGGCTGCGGTTGCATTGCTGTCTCTTAACATGGTGTACATGAAATTCTGCAATACCTGAAGAAAAAGAGGAGAAAGAAAAAAAATCACATATTACATGACTCCATTTATATGAAATATCCAGAGTAGGCAAATCTAATATACTGACGGTACAATGCTGTAAATATGGAAAACAAAAGAGTACTTACTATATTCACTTTATTGTTCTTGTGTTTTGCATTTATATTCTTGACATCAGTCACAATATGAGTGTACAAAGTCTGAGGAAAAGAAACAAAAACATACACACATAAACCAATATTTCTAACCTTGCTCAATCTGGAGAAAAGTACAAATGTACAGAAGGATTTAATTTTACCTACTTTTCATTCTATCACAAAACAGACCAAAAACAAATAAAACAAAAAGAAGCAGCTAAAGCAAAAGGGAAATTGCCCTCAAAAGGTTAAACATGGAGTTACCATAGGACCCAACAATTCCACTCCTAGTTATATACCCAAGAGAAATGAAAACATATTTCCAACCAATGTTCACACAAATATTTATAGCAGCATTATTCATAATAGCCAAAGAGTAGAAACAACCTAAATGTCCATTAACTGATGAATGGATAAACAAAAACAAAATGTGATATAACCAGATAATGAAATATTATTTGGCGACAAAAAGTAATGAAGTACAGATACAGGCTACAACATGGATGAACACTGAAAACATTATGATAGGTGAAAGAGGTTAGTCAAAGAAAACCACATATTATATGACTCCATTTATACGAAATATATTCCAGAGTAGGCAAATCTATAGAGACCAAAAGTAGATTGGTGGGGGGCTGGCTCGGTGGCATAGTGGTTGAGTTTGCACGTTCCACTTTGGTGGTCCAGGGTTCATGGGTTCAGATCCCGGGCACAGCCCTACACACCACTCGTCAAGCCATGCTGTGGCAGCATCCCCTATACAAAACAGAGGAAGACTGGCAATGGATGTTAGCTCAGGGCCAATCTTCCTCACCAAAAAAAGAGCAGATTGGTGGTTGCCTAGGGTTGGGATAGATGGGGGGATGGGAAATCACTGCTAATGGGAATGGGGTTTCTTTCGAGGGTGCTATAAATATTCTAAAATCCATTGTGGTGATGGTTGCACAACTCTGTGAACAAACAAAAACCACTGAATTGCACACTTTAAATGGATGAATTGTACATGAATTATATCTCAATAAAATTGTTTAAAAAAAAAAAGATGGGGCCAGCCCAGTGGCATAGTGGTTAAGTTCGCGTGCTCCACTTCAGAGGCCTAGGGTTCGTGGGTTCAGATCCTGGGTGTGGACCCACACACCACTTATCAAGCCATGCTGTGGCAGCAACCCACATATAAAAGAGAGGAAGACAGGCACAGATGTTACCTCAGGTTCAATCTTCCTCAGCAAAAAGAGGAAGATGGGCAATGGATGTTAGCTCAGGGGTAATCTTCCTCACAAAAAAATAAAATAAAATAAAAGGAAATTACTCCATTTATCGAACCCCTAACTGCATGCAAGATGATACTGGGATTTATACAGATATTACTGGTACCCAAAACATATTCCCAGGGACCACTTTTATTCCACAAGTTAAACTAAGAATTACAATTGCTAAAATCAAATGGCTGTAGTCTCTTAATACTTTGAAAAAAAAATTTAAGTTAATGTATGAATGCAAACTTAAGTTTTCCTTTCTTAAATTTCTTTCATAAACCATCAGCTTCTGGTCTTATATAAGCAAATACAAAGTCATAGGGAAATATTAATAACAAAAAAAAGTTAGTTGTTTTGGGAAGAAGGTGGGAGCGATTATAGGCATGAGTGTCCAGTCCATGCTCTGACTTAGCTAGTCAGTAGAATGCAGTGGAAAAGGGCCTGGGTTCTGGAGCCAGACTGCCTGGGTTTATGTTCCAGCCTCACCACTCAGAAGCAGTGTGACCCCGGGCACATTACTCTATCACTCTGTGCCTCAGCCTCTTCATCTGTATAATAAGAATAATAAAAATCCTATCCCATGGGGTTTTGTGAGTAAACAAATAAATATATAAAAGCTCTGAGAATGGTACGTGGCAAAAAGTAAGCACTCAGTAAATGTTTAGCTATTACCACTACATTGCATGCACACAACAACTGATTTTTTTCCCATTAAGATGACTTTTTTTTTTTTTGTGAGGAGATCAGCCCTGTGCTAACATCTGCCAACCCTCCTCTTTTTTTGCTGAGGAAGACTGGCCCTGGGCTAATATCCGTGTCCATCTTCCTCCACTTTTTATATGGGACACCGCCACACCATGGCTTGCCAAGCAGTGCGTCGGTGCACGCCCGGGATCCGAACCAGCGAACCCCGGGCTGCCGCAGTGGAGCTCGCACACTTAACTGCTTGCGCCACCGGCCCGGCCCCTAAAATGACTCTTAACTGTATCCAATAATGTGAAGCATCAAGAATTCAGAGTACTCCAAACTCTACAAGTTTTATGTCACTGAAAAAAAAAAAAAGCAATTTTGCTCTTTACCTTTCGCAGAAGCTTATCATGGCAACGCAGAAGTTCAAAGAAGAGTTCTAGCAAACTTGATGGATTGATGAGATTCTTATTTCTCAGCAAGATCAAAGCTTTGCAAAATGTCTCAGGAAGGAAAAAAAAAGATAAGATAACGATAGAGTTAAGATAAGATGAGAAAATGGAGCATGTATATCCCAAAAGAGCGTAATGTCTTCTACTAACTAGGCATTATTCTAGGCATCAGAACAGAACACCAAGTGTCTTCCCTCATGGACCTGGGGGTGGAGCAGAAGAGGGGATAGACAAGCTAGCAAACATATAAATAGGTGTATCTCAGATAATGATAAGTGTCACAAAGGAAGTAAAACAAGGTAATATAATTGATACATAGTGACTGAGGGAGGGCTACTTTATACAGAGAGGTCAAGGAAGGGTCAACATATGACAAAACCCTAGTGATCAATGAATCCACAAAGATAAGAAAGGTGAGGTAACAATTACATCACACACTAAATTGGAATAATCAATTTGGATGTGTAACCTTATATGGCATTCTTCTGAATTACTATTAGTATTAAGAATGGCCCAACAGCAGTGGTAGCACTCTTGCTTACCACGAATTTTCATGAGTACCCTTATCACCCAAATTTTGGCTTCTAATACTATCCTCCATTAGAAAGAACACATAATCCTTGGAGAATAGTTGATTCCAAGTCTTGGGGGAGGAAAAACAGTAAGAAAAGTTTTGGAACTATTTCTGCCAGAATGCAAAGATGCTTTCAAAAACATCAACGGTATTGCTAATGGGACTAAAAAATTCCCACTGGCCAGGGAGTGACAGCTTGAACATAAAATAATAAAAATAGTAATGCATAAAAAAGAGATGAATAAAAAGTACATAAAAAAGTAGTTACAATGTCAAAGAAAGAGAAATATAAAAAATTCATTTTACTGACTTTATTAAGTAAAGTTAATATATACGGGTATTTTGTTTCTTCCACTAAGAAATACAGTCTGTTTCTAGCTGTATAAGCAGGAAAGAGGGAACAAAAACTTGGGAATAATTCAAAAAGTCCTGGAAAAATAGCAAATATACTAGGTAGAAAGAAAGTCCAGTGGCTGATAAGGATTGGTGGTTATTATAATAGCCAATTAAAAACAGGATCAACCAGTGTGTTCTAAATGATTCCTCTAAAGAGGAATGCTAATTACACAGACTTAATCCCTTGTTTCCTAGCAAAGGAAATCTCTAATTATTTTTTTAAAACCTACTAATCATCATACAGAAACACACAGTTATCTATTTAATAACGCCTGCAGACCAGTTTGATTGGGTACTGTTCGCCACATAAAACTTAACGAAAACCTAATCACTTGGAAAGACAATAAGTATCTATACTCAAAATCTCAAATCTGTACAACATACAAGAACTTGAAAAGTTTCACGACATAAGTAAAAGTCTTCTAATGGTTCGAGTTGGAAGCCTCCTGGGCTGTGCTGCCAGGTCCCAAGTCCCAGCTGAGAGCCAATCAGTTGACAACCCAGAGCCTGCAACCTTGACTTGTCTGAGGTGGTATTCTTTTTCTTTTGGGCCTAATCAAATTAATAAAATCCTAGAGAAGAATAAAAATGGTAAAGTTACAGAAAGCCTGGGGAAATGTAAGAATAAGAAACAAAGTTGAATCTATGGACTTAGCATTTTTACAAGTTTTGGCATAGGATATTAATATGTTTTGTGATCATGATATTTGTGTTAAGTTCTATCTGCTGTAAAGGTATTTGAAAAGCAGATGTATGAAATCTGAAAATGTCTTATGTTGGGTTCCCTAGCAGCACAGTCTGATTCATTACAGCGATTTGTCCAGGTTATGCTCTCTTCTAGAAGGGAAGAAAGGAAGCAAGATAGGGCAGAGAAAACAAAAGCTGAACAAGGATGTGTCCTTGGCTGGAGACTAACTTTAGTCCAATCACAGAGGAGCCCTGGAGCGCAGACTGCAACACAAAGTTGGAACCATCATGAGGGAACGGGCTGGGCTTTTGTACCCCTGAGTTAGTCAGGTACCACCTGTGGGCTGGGAGGGCACCCTCCCAGGTGCCTGGGCTCCCATTTAGCTGAAGACAATGCTCCAGAGAAAGGGCAGCTGGGGGCCATTAGCAGCCAACATTTACTGCAGGTGGGGAAAATGGGAGCACTGGCCTGGTAAAGGGGATCTCAGCCAGGACCCAATGTCAACCACAAAAGTGACAATGTTTAAATGCTCGAACTGGTTATGTAATGCACAAGTTTATAAATTAAGCATTCTAAAAACTTTAAGTTGTAATTAGGGTTCCTGATACATATAAGATATGAATGACTAGAAGGAATCACCTATTCAAAAGAGGGCAAAGAGCATCCTGGCAGGGTTAGCATGCTGAAAAACAGAACGATCAGAGAGAGGAGTACAGCAGCAAAGGAGATGAGGTCAAAAACACAGGCAGAAGCAGATCACGTAGGTACTATATAGGCCATGTTAATAAGTTTGAGTTTTATTCTAAGTATAAATGAGAAGCCACAGAAGGATTTTAAGGAAGGGGTGATACATTCCGCTTTACATTTTAAAAAGATGTTTAGCTGAGAGGCTGTTCTCGTTTAAACATATATTACACACACACATGAACACAACACAATTTATCAATCCAAATACTGGTCCTACCATCCGAAGATCTGGGTCCAAGACAGTATGATTGTAGGAGAGAAGATCTTTCAGCTCTTGAGGAAAGTTACTTAAATGTTCTGGATAGCAGTGACCAATCTGCAACAAAGCAAAGGCTCTTCTGAAGTTTCTCTTTCTCTCCTATAATTCATACGCACATATTTAGGATACTCTGCAAAAGGAGAGTAAAAGTCTATGTTTCATAGAAGTAGATGGTTCCAAATCATGTTTTTCCCTCTACATGCTAATTTCTCTAACTTCTTTCATTTTTCTTCTAGTCTTGTAAATTATGTGTGACATGATTTAGAATATGCTTTTATGATGAATTCGATAAAAACAAACAGTTTGAAAGTTTTGCTCTAGCTGGTTCTGAGAAATGTTCTAGTGAAATCCTCTAACTCAAAACAGGGAGAAAATAAAATTTGCAAAAAGGGAAAGTTAAAAAAAATTTTTTTTAATTAAGCTTCCACTCCCAAATGGAATGATGTTAGGTATTACTGGAAAAATATTCTGCAAACTATGTGTAACAAGTTGTCTTTGTTTTACTCAGAAATTATCTTCTTACCTGTGCCATAAACATCACCAGCTCTGCCAGTTCTTTGCTAGGTTTATTTGGTTGTAATTTGAAAATCTCCACATTGGATTTGTAGTGATTATACTGCTGTAAAAACTGTAGAAAAATAAAATTTAAGTTGGTCATTTTCTATTATATGACTTTATCAGTAAAGAATGAAAAATTATTTAGTAGAAGTCTTTGATAGTGGCATGGAGAAAAAGATGTGGAAAAAGTATGTAAAACACTTTATTTTCCTTATCTGCAGTCTTCAAAATGAGTTTTGTAAAAGCTGAGCATGTCATAGGTAATCTAAAGACCCTTTCCTTTATCATCAGAAATTTAGGTGGTGTGGTGTAAAGAACAGTGAAGCAAGAGTCAAAAACTCAGATTCTGGCCCTACTTCTGCCACTTACTATCCAAATGACCCCTACACTGTCTAAGTATAGAGCACTCATATTAGCCGAAAAATACTGAGTCAGAAAATGTAAATTATATCTCAAGTGCACCAAGCTCTCTAGTCAAAATTCCCCTCTTCTTTTAAATAACAACTAAGATTTTATTCTGGAGTTCTAGATAGGATGTGTTAACAGCCAAAAGCCATAGACACACGCAATTAACAATAGCTTCCACTTATTCAGCACGCACAATGTGCCAAACTCATTATGTACATTTTCTCATTTAATTACGTTTAATCCTAACAACAACCCAATAATCTAATGTTAGAACTCAGCAGGCCTCAGTTCCATGCCCTACATTTACTCTCCCTCCCTAGACCATGGCTTTAAATTGTGTGTGTCTGTGTGTGAGAGAGGGCAAGCGACAGAGAGCAAGAACGAGCAAGAGAGACAAAGAGAGAAAGAGAGAGAGACTATGAGAACGAGTATTTCTTTATATTAGCCCTAAACTGGTCCAGTGACCTCCAAATTCATATATCCAGTTACCTGTCTGACATCTCTATTTAGATGTATAACAGATTTCTTAAACTTAGCATGGTCAAAAACCATTACTCTTGATTTTCCCAACAAAACTGCTAGGCCTCCAGTTTTCTCCAAGAGTAGGAGTCAAAGGGAAACCTGCAGCCCCTACATGCTTCAGATAAAACCCTCTCTCTCTTGACTTCACACTGCCATACACAGGAATGAAGAGAGGGCCCCAGAACTCAGTGTGCTGCTAGCAAGATCTTTATCCCACTTCTTCCACCATGCCAGCCATGGCCCAGCCACCTCTATCTGCCTTGAGATGATCAAGACTAATTTCATTATGCCCTTCATGTTCATCAGTCACTACACAAGCCCAGGACTCCCAGGCCATCCCTCAGCCCCCTCACTCTAATCACCATACGAAGGGAATCAAGAACTCTCGGGTAGGGCCAGGGCATCTATATCTTTTAAAGTAGCCCAGTTACTCTGATTCCCTATTGAAACCCTGGTTCTCTCCTGACACACTGTCACAGCGTTTATTTTCCCCCAGCATTGCTGAACCAATAGATGTCCTCTTTGTTTCCCAATGCTACTTCCAGAGCACAAGCATCCTTCCAGATTGGCACCCTTTTCTCCTCCTTAACCGTTGCCACCGCCAGCTTTGAATCTTATGTCTGGAGACCCATTAACCCTCCTTGCTGTAGTCATCTAATGAGCTATGGTCATTCCCCACATTCCTTGAACATTTCAGCTCTTTGTTCATTATCTTATCACTCTCTAACACAATTTCTGTTATAATTCTTGGTGATTTCATATCCATACGGGTGGTCTTTCCAATACCCTGCCCCCTCATTTCCCTGATCTCTCCTCTTCTAATCATCTCAAACTGTTACTCCACCTTTGCCCTCACTCCACGGTCACATCCTAAGTCTTGTCATTACCAATAACTACAACTCCTTCATAATCTCCACAAGAAGCATCCCCCTCTCGGATCACCATCTCCTATTTTCCATCACTTTTCTGATAATATCCCAACTCCAACAACCCTTCAATCTCACCAGAATCCACAGTCCATTGAGCCTATTACCTTTCCACTGTACCTCACTGATCCCCTCCCCAACTTCCCTTCTCATCCAGCTTCAATTACATGATCAATCACTGTAATTAACTCCATGCATGTACTTCAATGCACTTGCCCCTTTCTCTCATCATTGTACTCATTTGGCAAATGCCCGTCTTGTGCTTCCCTTCTCCACCACTGCACTCTCAGAGCTAAGCATGGTTGAAGAAAATAAGCTAACTGATCTCATTTTAAATTCATTACCACAAACCTCAAAGAGGTTCTTAAGTGTACTCTGGCAATCTTACTACATTTTCCCCTCACCTAGGCAACCATTTCATACCTTGTCTTCTCTCCTCAAACCTCAAACACTTTCTTCCCCATCTTCACTCTCAACTGATGACCTTGTCTCCCATTTCACTTACAGAATACAATAGAAGCAATCTGAGAATAATTTCCACACATTAGTACTACATTCAACCACAGAGCTTCATCTGAGCTCATATACTTTACTTTCTCTCCTCTTACTAAGAATAAATTGTCAGGCCACCGTCTAAGGCCAGTCCAACCCCTACACTCTATTCAATCTAGGTCTTTGCTCCAGTAGTCTCCTCTTCAATTTTCTGCCTCAACACTTTCTGCCCAGTCAGTATACAGACATGCTATTATTTCTGCCACCCTTAAAAGAAATCTTTTCTCGATTCCACTTCAATCTCCAGCTTACACTCCATTTCTCTCTCTTCTTTTCAGAAAAACTCCTTTAAAAGAGTTGTCCATACTTCTTGCCCAATTGCCTTCCTTTTCCAAAAAAATTTTTTTGAGATATAATTCATATACCATAAATTTACCCTTTCAAAGTGTACAATTCAGTGGTCTTAGTATATTTACAGAGTTGTGCAACCATTACCACTATCTAATTTGAGAACATTTTCATCACCACAAAAAGAAACCCCTATCCATTAGTAGTCACTCACTGTTCCCTATCCCCAACCCCTGGTAACCACTAATCTACTTTCTATCTCTATGGATTCACCTATTCTGGACATTTCATATTAACGGAATCATACTCCCACTGCTTTTAAACCTCCTCTAATTGCATTTTTGCACCCATTCCTCTCCTCAAACTGCTCATATCAGGATAGCCAATGACGTCCAAGTTGCTAAATTTAATGGTCAATTTTCAGTGTTTATTTTATTTGACTTATCAGTATCTGACATGCTTGGTCTCTCCCTCCCTCAGGGAACACATTCTGTACTTGGCTTCCAGGACACTAACTGGTTTTCCTCCTACTGCACTGGCTGCTTTCTCAGTCCCTTTTGCTAGTTACTCAGCAACTCACTAGCCTCTAAACATTGAGGTTTCCCAGGATTTTCTCTACCTACCAGATCTAGAATCTAATCACTTCTCATCACTGCTACCATTCTGATCCAAGCCACCATCATCTCCTGCTGTAGATAACTGGTGTCTCTGTTTCTACTTTGCCCTCCTACACACAATCTATTCTCAAAACAAGGCAGCCAGAGCTATCTTGTTCTCATATAAGGCAGTTCATGTTGTCCTGGGCTCAAAACCCTGTAAAGGCTTCTATTTAACTCAGGATAAAATCCAAAGCTCTTAAAAACAACTAGGTCTTATAAGATACGGCTCACCTTATACTACTCCTGCTTTCCTCATTCCTATTCCAAGCCATACAGGCTTCCTTTATAGTCCTCAAACTTACCAGGCACATTCCTGACCCAGGGTCCTTATATTTGCTGTTCCTTCTGCCTAGATCATTCTTCCTCTAAATATCTGCACAGCTCTCCCTCACCTCCTTCAGGTTTTTAGTCAAAGATTATCATCTCAAGAAAGCCTTCCTTGACTATTCCATTTAAAAGTGCAACACCCGCCTCATCCCCAACATACAGACTGGTATGTTACTTTTTTCCCCATAGCGTTTACCATCATCTGACACACTCATATTGACATACAAGTAATTGCAGCAAATGCCCAGCAGAGATACCTGTTTAACCCCTGTCAGACAAATGGGTGTCTGAAGAAGGCACCTGACAGATGACCATACCAAAACCACTATTTCCATTTTGTCACTTGTCGGCTCAAATACCTTTAATATTCACAATTTGTATGAGGTCAGTATACAAAGTCACTCACAATCTGCATCTAATCTAATTTTTCAACCTCATCTTTGACCGAAGCAAATTCTGACATCCAGGTCGTGCCAGCTTCCGATGAGACTGAATCCTGGTTTAACTAGACATACTAAGCTTCTGTGTCTGTCCCTTATACTTGAGAATCCCCCCTCCCTCCAAATACAGCCCATGGCACAGAGCGCGGGCTCTCAGAAACAGACATCGGTCGAAAGCTTTCTAACATACAATTCACTATTCAAACTAGGGGTTTCTGAAAAGAAAAGGCTAAGAAACCTCCATGGAAGTTGGAGCTTGGGGGTGGGCCATTTCTCTCCACCTCTCTGAGGTCAGGAGATAAACCCTAAAGCAAAATGAGGTTTTTAAGGGTGTTTTCGTGGTAGGGACCAGGTAGAAAAGCCAAAGGGGCAGCAGATTTCCAAGAGGTGGAGAACGAACCCTGAGGGACGTCCCTTCCTCAACCCCTTCTCACTCCCGAGGGACCCCTGAACCCAAGAGCAGAACACGCGGCGACCCAGGATCCCAGCTCCACGCCACGCCTCCCCTCCGCCAGCGTCTCAACCCGTAACACCGGCCTCTAGTGTGGCCACGGCGCACTCCCACCTCCTCGACGTAGGCCGGCGGGTCCCGTTTGATCAGATTCTGTAACTGCGGCAAGTTGCTGGGCAGCTTATTATTGTTTCTGTTAGACATGTTGGCTGCTGACTGGCTCCGCGGCAAGCAGCTTTAAGAAAACGCACCCCGCCGGCAACCGCCAACCGTCTCAGCTGCAGCTGGGAATCGTGCTTCCGGGTATGACCGGAAACAGCGCATGGGACTCTCGGCCGCTAGCGCCATCTTGGCTCTCAAAAAAAAAAAAAAAAAAAAATGAACTACACTACGGGAGCCTCCGAGTGTCAAATTTACTCTCACTGCCGAAATGTTCCGTAGTGGTTTACACGAGAATTTTTTTTCCCCTCGGCCAACCGCTACCACTACCTAGTATTTCTGAAATAATCTGAAATGCAAAGATGTTTTTCACACACATTAGCTTATTTCATTATCCCGAAAGTCATATGAAACAGACAGATGAGGATTAATAGGGTTTTTTTAAAAATCCCACAGCCTAAAGTTAGAAGCTAATAATTATGCGTGGGGAGTAGAGAGCACTGTCCTATTTTAGAGAGGGGGAAAAAAGAACAAAGAGGAGCGGAAGTTAGTTTTTCTGTATAATTTTAAATACCTGTTTTTGTTTTGTTTTTGGTTGGTTCAACTCAACATGACCCAGACAAAGGAAAAGGATGTGGACTGGATAAAATGTGGTCATGTTGATTGGTTTAAAAATTCAAATTAATTTGTTTTTAAAAGTTAACCATTGTTGTAACCTTTGTAAGTACTCTTCAGCCAGAGTTTTAAATTGAGATGCTGGTAATTTGAAGAGAATGCATTTCTACAATTTCACATGGTGCAAAAATAAATATATGGTGAATGAATGAATGAGATAAGGTGTTAATACAAAGATACACTTGTTCGCTCACCCCGTGCCAGGCACTGTTCCAAGCACTTCACTTGTATTAACTCATTTTATTCTCAGAACAGCCCTCTAAAATAGGCATAATTATCTGCACTTTACAGATGAGGAAACAGGCCCAGACAAGTTGACTGCCCAAGTTCATAGCTGGTGAGGAAGCTGGGATTTCAATCCAGGCAGTCTTGACTGTAACTAGATGAGAAAGAAAAATGTAGCCTGACAGCTGTCAGCTGGTAGCTGGTCTGGCATTAGTAAATGGACAAGGGTATTCTCCTGCTTAACATAAGCAATTTCACAGGACATCAACTGCAATCCAGGTCATCTGTGACCTCAAAGGAATGAGTCAAAAACAAGAGAACTCTGTAACCACATCTGAGCACAAACAAAATCAAGAACACTGTGCAGTCCACAATTAGTTTTTCAGCTGCGTTTGGAGAATGACTATTTTCTTTATTAATTATTGAATCAGGTACTTGTGAAGTTTTTAAGAGGTAAATGTAAGCAATAAATCTTTTTTTTAAAAACCCATTCCTAGATTTAGATTTAAAAAAATTTTTTGGTTAGGTTGTATTAGCGAGGAAAAAAAGAATTCCCAAAACAAAATATATTGAAATTATTTAATATAATTTCTGTCAAAATCATAAGCTTATGTACTAAGAATATTTATCTTGAGTCACCAAAATGTGACTTCTGAGTAAAACACTCAGGCCATGTCCCAAGCTTTTATACACAATCTATATGTCAGGTACTAGGGAAGTTGCTAGGAACACAAAAATAAATAAGGCCTGGGCATTTGCCTCAGGAAACTTACAAACTCATAAAGGAGACAAATAGACGAACACATTTAAAATGAATAAAAGTGTTCTTTTTTTTGTGTGAGGAAGATCAGCCCTGAGCTAACATCTATTGCTAATCCTCCTCCTTTTTTTTTTTTTTTCCCCCCAAAGCCCCAGTAGATAGTTGTATGTCATAGCTGCACATCCTTCTAGTTGCTGTATGTGGGACGCAGCCTCAGCATAGCCGGAGAAGTGGTGCATCAGAGCGCGCCCGGGATCTGAACCCGGGCCGCCAGTAGCGGAGCGCACGCACTTAACCGCTAAGCCATGGGGCCAGCCCAAAAGTGTTCTTAAATAAAGCCATGGAAGTGATAGAGAGGATAACCCAGCCTAGAGGAATCAGAATGTTTCACAGTTATGGTACTATTTGATTGAAATCCTGAAGGATCAGGACTTTTTCTGGAAGAGAGAAAGAAAGGCTTTCCTCATGCAGAAAATAGCTTGTGTGAAGGTACAAAGGCTTGAAAAAGTCTGGTGGATTTAAGGGATGGCCAAAAGTTTGATGTGACTAAAGGTTGGGAGGGGAGTGTGCAGCAGGGAAGAAGCTGAGGAAAGTGAGTCAGGTACTTTTCTGCAGTCCTAAGGATAAAAGGCTTTCCAAGCTAATCTAAGGAGGGCATAGAGGTTGGCTCATTTTACCCCCAAACACCCTAGAGGCAGGATTTTTTTTTTTTTTTTTAACTAAGGCTGAGAGTGGCTAACTGAATGTGTATTTAGAGTGGCTAACTGAATATGTATTCTTTAAATGTTAAATAATGGCTATATTATATGTAATGTAATATACATATGTTTAATGTATATTAGCCAGATAGACACCAAGAAAACTCCATATTCATTTCCTATATTTAGTCTTGAACCGGCAAAGGAATCCCCAAATGATTTTTAACCTGAAGGCAATTATTCTAGAAAAGAAAATGTCCTTTATACTTTTGCAAAAGAGACCACATTGTAATTATAAAATGGATCGCAATATCTGGATTCAAATGGATTAAAAATTTCTTTATTGAAGGGGCCTAGACTAGTAGGCTATTTTAAATTTCGATTGTATAAGAAGCACACACTTTTCATTTATATCTTTATTTGGAGTGCCTTTTGGGGGCGGTTTGATAGTGCAGACAGCAGCTTGAGCACCAGGCTTGAGCCGTTAAGTATTACAAGTAGTAGGAAGGAGGAAGGTGGGGAAGGGAACCTCCCAGCTGAATTAGCCCGACAAAAGTTTCAAGCAATATAATACTTCTGCATATATCTCCTTGGCCAGAACTTAGTGAGATGGATAGTCCTATAAGGGAGTCTTTTGGCTGGGTACAATGAAGCTTTGAATAAAGGAAGGAGAGGTCATGGTTTTTTTGAGGAATAAGGAAAGGTTTCATGAAGATGAATGTATTTGGGATACATCTTGAAGGATGTGCAGTGTTTTTTTTGTTTTTTGTTTTTAATAGTTTTATTTATTTATTTTTCCCCCCAAAGCCCCAGTAGATAGTTGTATGTCATAGCTGCACATCCTTCTAGTTGCTGTATGTGGGACACGGCCTCAGCATGGCTGGAGAAGCAGTGCGTCGGTGCGCGCCCGCGATCCGAACCCGGGCCAGCAGCAGCAGAGCACGCGCACTTAACCGCTAAGCCACAGGGCCGGCCCTGCAGTGTTTTGATATGAGACGATAGATAGAGGGTAAAGAAACAATAACTCAATTGGGACAGGTAGTAATCTCCATAAGAGCTTATCAGTATCATTTATTTCAGAGATCTTTATGGTGTTCCTTAGGAGATACTTCCTTCTTTGTAAAATGAGAGTGTTGAACAAAGCCAGTTCTCATGCCAACCTCATGCCTTTATTATATTGCTATTTGGGGGTACGATCCATATGATGATCAACTGAAATTTTTCTTTAAGTTGTTGCTAAATATACTTTCATTATTCATTTAACCTTCTCCAAAGCAATAATATCTGGGAATGATGGGTTTGATGTGCTGGTTATATTTTTTGAATACACATCAGAATAGGATGAAACATTTCTGAGCCTATCTAAGGCCAGCACCTCTACTTCCTCATGAGATCCCATCTTTTATTTTTTTATGATAATGTATTTATTTTATGGCTTTATTAAGATATAATTAATATACAAGAAACTGGCCATAAAGTGTATAATTTGATGAGTTTTCATATATGTATGCACCCATGAAACCATTGCCACAATCAAGATAATGATTACATCCATTATCTGCGAGTTTTCTTGTGTTCCACCATCCCCAGACAAACACGCATCTGCTTTCTGTCACCATAGACAAGTTTGCATTTGCAGAAATTTTATACAAATGGAATCATATAGTATCTATTCTTTTGGCTTCTTTCACTTAGCATAATTATTCTTAAGTTCATCGGATGTTATTATGCATATCAATAGTTCATCTCATATTCTTGAGTAGTAGTCCATCATATGGTTATACTGCAATTTGTTTATCCATTCACCTGTTGTTGAATATTTGGGTTGTTTCCAGTTTTGGGCTATCAATATTCAGGTTTGAGTTTTTATGTGGACGTGTTTTCATTTCTCTTGGTAAATGTCTAGGAGTGGAGTGGCTAGTTCATATGATAGGTTTATATTTAACTTTTTAGGAAACTGCCCATCAGTCTTTTGCTTTCTCTATTCCACTAAAACTGTTTTTATCAAGATCACCAATCACTTTGATGTCGCTAAGTCCAATGGTCAGTTTTCATTCTTCATCTTACCTGCAGCATTTGAGACAGTTGGTCTCTCCCTACTTGTGGAAACATATTTGGTAATTGGCCTTTAACTGGTCTCTCTGCTTCTTCTCTTGCCCTGCTATTGTGTATTTTCTTGTACTGGTGGTCAGAGGGATCCTTAAACGAATCAGATTACTCTTCCAGCTTCCCTTCTCACTCATATTTAAAGCTAACGTCCTTCAGTGACAAGAAGGCCATACATAATCTGACCCCACGTTACCTCCCTTGGCTCCTCTCCCATCATGCTCCCCTTTGCCCATTCTACTCCAGGCAAAATAACTTCCTAGCTGCCTTCAATGTGTCAAGTCTCAGGGCTTCACACTTGCTGTTTCCTCTGATCTAAGCACCACAAGTCTTGCTCCCTCACTTTCCTCAGGTCCCTGCTCAGGTGACATCGTATTAGAGAGGCCTTCCCTGACCTCCCATCCTGCCTCCTACTCCACACCCCCTTCTCCTGCTTTATTTTTCTCCATAGCCCTTATAAGCCTCTGACATAGTGTGTATTCACCAGCTTAATTGTTCATTGTCTGTCTTTCGGCACTAGACTATGAGTTTAATGAGGACTTGGTTTTGTTCACTGCTCTATCCTCCACATTTGGAGCAACCCACGGCACAAGTAGATAATCAGGTAATATTTGTTGAATGAATGAATGGACAATCTCTAGTCTCTTCCACTTCTTCAATTGTGTGATTTATTAAAGTAAAACTTAAAATATCTTAGACATCCACAGGCGAAATTTACCTCAAAATCAGTAAG